AGTAAATGCGATGTGTAAAACTCAGAAGAGGAGGGCGCTTGAGGTTGGGGAAGGATAAAATCGGTTTTTCAAAGGAAGGATAAAATCGGTTTTTCAAAAAATCTTTAAGAGGGCCTTTTATTTTTATGTACTATATTGTATATTAGAAATTGGGCTCATAGATAAATACATAAAGTTAAATAAGTTCAATGATATAAAAGAAAATTATTGACTTTAAAGATAAATTAGGGTAAACAATTACGCCCATAAACAAAAACTCATTTATCTAAACATATTTTTTTTTAAAATAGGTCCAGGTCCAGGGAGGACCCCATCTAGAAAAGTTCGCAAAACACGCCTATAATTTAAAATAGGGTTTTTTATTTCTAGGCCCATTTGTTTACTCATCTTTACCTCTAAGCCCAATAACTATTCTTTGTATTCTTAAACCCAAGTTTCTTTTTGTTTTTGCCTTTAAACCTAATTTCTAAAATACTGTATATACAACACTGGTATTCATATCCAAACATGATAAAAACCCTAAAATACCCTTCAATACCCCCACTTAAACCAGACCCCCTCTCTCTCTCCTCATTTTCCTTCTTCCTCAGGTCTTCGTCTTCCTCCTTCCTCAAGGCTTTGTCTTCCTCCTCCGATCCCACCTCTCATGCCCCCTCCAAGAAATCGAAGAAGAAAGGAAGAAAGGCCCATGATTTTAGTGCTTGATGTCTTGAAAAGGCCCACGACGGATCTCGAGGCAGCCGGACACACCTCCACCCTCTCCAACGAGACACTACAATTCTTCAACGATCAACAAGATGCTTGATGATTTTGGCTTCGGGATCTCTTTCGATGACGAGGAGGAGTGATTTCGTGTGAAATCTCATTTCTATATACTCGATTAGGGTTAGGGTCAGGGTCGGGGTCGGGGTTGGGGGGTTAGGGTTAGTTCATTGATGTTCTTTTGTGCCATCCCTTTTTGTTAAACCAAATCTAATTGTAGAATTGGTTTTATCAATTTATGAATGTATCGTTTCTGTTGAACTAAATCTAATTTGTACACAATAGATTTGCAAAGCAAGAGGTGTGAAATCTGGAGAATCTGGAATTTTGTACCTGTAAATTTTGCTTATAAAGAGTTGGAGAGTATGGAGCTTGCTTTGAAGATTGTGAAAGAGAAATTGCTGGGTAGAGTTAATGGAGTCAGTTATGCTATATGTACATTTTGAAGATTTGTGCAATTTTGAAGATTTGTAACATTTTGTAAAGTCTGGAGCTTGCCTTGAATATAATATCAGTTATATTATGTACATTTTGAAGATTTGTAACATTTTTGAAAGCCTGGAGCTTGCCTTGAATATATGATCAGTTATGCTATGTTTTTTGTGAAGATTTGTAACATTTTAAAAAGTCTAGAGCTTGCCTTGAATATATGATTAGTTATGCTAAGTATATTTTGAAGATTTGTGTAATTTTGGAGTTTGATTTGTAACATATTGTTTCAGATTGTAAGTTTTTGAAAGTAGATAATGAAAGTGTTGTTAGTGCAATATCGTTATTGTTTGTGCAATTTTGGAGTTTGTAAGACTGGAATTTTGTGCAATTTTGTGAGTGCTATTTTGTGGAATTTTGTGTAATTTTATGAGTGTTATTTTGTTCTTGTGCAATTTTGTGAGTGCAACCAAGTGTGATAAACTGCAGATCTCTTTGATTGTAAGTGTAGCGTGATAAATTCAAAGTGTAGCGTGATAACCTGTAAGTGTAGCGTGGTAGACTGTAAGTGTAGCGTGATAGACTGAAATTGTAGCGTGGTAGACTGTAAGTGTAGCATGGTAGACTGTACAGGATAACACGCTACACTTACAGGATAACCCGCTACACTTACAGGATAACCCGCTACACTTACAGGATAACCCGCTACACTTACAGGATAACCCGCTACACTTACAGGATAACCCGCTACACTTACAGGATAACCCGCTACACTTACAGGATAACCCGCTACACTTACAGGATAACCCGCTACACTTACAGGATAACCCACTACACTTACAGCATAACACGCTACACTTACAGTCTAACACGCTACACTTACAGGATAACACGCTACACTTACAGGATAACCCGCTACACTTACAGTCTAACCCGCTACACTTACAGCATAACACGTTACACTTACGGTCTAACCTGCTACACTTACAGGATAACAAGCTACACTTACAGTATAACACGCTACACTTACAGTCTAACACGCTACACTTACAGTCTAACACGCTACACTTACAGGATAACCCGTTACACTTACAGCATAACACGCTACACTTACAGGATAACACGCTACACTTACAGGATAACCCGCTACACTTACAGCATAACACGCTACACTTACAGTCTAACACGCTACACTTACAGCATAACACGCTACACTTACAGTCTAACACGCTACACTTACAGAATAACCCGCTACACTTATAGTCTAACATGCTACACTTACAGCATAACACGCTACACTTACAGGATAACCAGCTACACTTACAGCATAACACGCTACACTTACAGGATAACACGCTACACTTACAGGATAACACGCTACACTTACAGCATAACACGCTACACTTATAGGATAACACGCTACACTTGCAGTCTAACCCGCTACACTTACAGCATAACACGCTACACTTACGATCTAACCCGCTACACTTACAGCATAACACGCTACACTTACAGTCTAACCCGCTACACTTAAAGTCTAACTCGCTACACTTAAAGTCTAACCCGCTACACTTACAGGATAACCCGCTATATTTGAAGTGTAACACGCTACACTTACATGATAATCCGCTATACTTACAAATAACCCGTTACACTTGCAGTGTAACACGCTACACTTACAGATAACCCGCTACATTTACAGATAAGTGTAGCGTGTTATGCTGTAAGTGTAGCGTGTTATCCTGTAAGTGTAGCGTGTTATGCTGTAAGTGTAGCATGTTATCCTGTAAGTGTAGCGGGTTATGCTGTAAGTGTAGCGTGTTATCCTGTAAGTATAGCGTGTTATGCTGTAAGTGTAGCGGATTATCCTGTAAGTGTAGCGTGTTAGACTGTAAGTGTAGCGTGTTATCCTGTAAGTGTAGCGGGTTATTCTGTAAGTATAGCGTGTTAGACTATAAGTGTAGCGTGTTATGCTGTAAGTGTAACGTGTTAGACTGTAAGTGTAGCGTGTTATGCTGTAAGTGTAGTGGGTTAGACCGTAAGTGTAGCGTGTTATGCTGTAAGTGTAGCGGGTTAGACTGTAAGTGTAGCGGGTTATCCTGTAAGTGTAGCGTGTTATCCTGTACAGTCTACCATGCTACACTTACAGTCTACCACGCTACACTTACAGTCTACCACGCTACAATTTCAGTCTATCACGCTACACTTACAGTCTACCACGCTACACTTACAGGTTATCACGCTACACTTTGAATTTATCACGCTACACTTACAATCAAAGAGATCTTCAGTTTATCACACTTGGTTGCACTCACAAAATTGCACATGAACAAAATAACACTCATAAAATTACACAAAATTCTACAAAACAGCACTAACAAAATTGCACAAAATTCCAGTCTTACAAACTCCAAAATTGCACAAACAATAACGATATTGCACTAACAACACTTTCATTATCTACTTTCAAAAACTTACAATCTGAAACAATATGTTACAAATCAAACTCCAAAATTACACAAATCTTCAAAATATACTTAGCATAACTAATCATATATTCAAGGCAAGCTCTAGACTTTTTAAAATGTTACAAATCTTCACAAAAAACATAGCATAACTGATCATATATTCAAGGCAAGCTCCAGGCTTTCAAAAATGTTACAAATCTTCAAAATGTACATAATATAACTGATATTATATTCAAGGCAAGCTCCAGACTTTACAAAATGTTACAAATCTTCAAAATTGCACAAATCTTCAAAATGTACATATAGCATAACTGACTCCATTAACTCTACCCAGCAATTTCTCTTTCACAATCTTCAAAACAAGCTCCATACTCTTCAACTCTTTATAAGCAAGATTTACAGGTACAAAATTCCAGATTCTTCAGATTTCACACCTCTTGCTTTGCAAATCTATTGTGTACAAATTAGATTTAGTTCAACAGAAACGATACATTCATAAATTGATAAAACCAATTCTACAATTAGATTTAGTTCAACAAAAAGGGATAGTACAAAAGAACATCAATGAACTAACCCTAACCCCCCGACCCCGACCCTGACCCTAACCCTAATCGAGTATATAGAAATGAGATTTCACACGAAATCACTCCTCCTCGTCATCGAAAGAGATCCCGAAGCCAAAATCATCAAGCATCTTGTTGATCGTTGAAGAATTGTAGTGTCTCGTTGGAGAGGGTGGAGGTGTGTCCGGCTGCCTCGAGATCCGTCGTGGGCCTTTTCAAGACATCAATCACTAAAATCATGGGCCTTTCTTCCTTTCTTCTTCGATTTCTTGGAGGGGGCATGAGAGATGGGATCGGAGGAGGAAGACAAAGCCTTGAGGAAGGAGGAAGACGAAGACCTGAGGAAGAAGGAAAAATGAGGAGAGAGAGAGGGGGTCTGGTTTAAGTGGGGGTATTGAAGGGTATTTTAGGGGTTTTATCATAAAATGAGGAGAGAGAGAGGGGGTCTGGTTTAAGTGGGGGTATTGAAGGGTATTTTAGGGGTTTTATCATGTTTGGGTATGAATACTAGTGTTGTATATACAGTATTTTAGAAATTGGGTTTAAAGGCAAAAACAAAAAGAAACTTGGGTTTAAGAATACAAAGAATAATTATTGGGCTTAGAGGTAAAGATGAGTAAACAAATGGGCCTAGAAATAAAAAACCCTTTAAAATAACACTACAGACACACTCTCCACCACACTCTCCACCACACCCCCTCTCCTGCTACAGCGCAGGGGGGCCCACCTGAGATTTTTTAAAAAATCTCAGGTGGACCCTCCTGCGCTGTAACCTTGAACTTCGAATCCCGAGGACTCCGATGGCGCTCATGCTGAAAAAAGTATGGGGATCCGTCCTCAGCCGATCGGGATCGACCTCATCTCGCCGGAGCTCGTCGGATCTCTCGCCGGAGAGGTCGGGATCGATTTCGTCTCTGGGAGCGTTCGATCAGCTCCCGATCGATATCTTGATGCAAATCCTTAGGCTATTGGGGCCTAGGGATGCGTCGAGGATGAGCGCGGTGTGTCGGTCGTGGAGAGTTTTGGTCACGGACAATTCGCTGTGGATTTTCTTTCTTAAGAATGGGAAGGAGCCTTTCGATTCTGTGGTTTTTGCTGAGAGTCACTTGAGATTGGGGCCTCGTTCTCTGTAAGTTTATTCGATTTGCTGAAATTTTGTGGTTTATTTATTCGATTTTTGAAACTTGATTGAGTATTTAAGTAGTAGGGATGGGATTCAGTAGCTATTAATATCAGTTGCTAAAATTGGCTATGGGATTGAATATGGCTTCTCTGTTTATAGAATTTTCCTTTTTTTTAAATTTAGAAATGGGTTCTGTTTGTATAACAGTACGAAAAATAGAGCTTTTATTTTTATTTTCCTTCTCTTGGTGGCTTGTTTTCTTAATTGATTCACTCAGATGGCCACGTTGAAATGTGGAGTTGATGTATGCCTTCCATCAAATACCCTGTCTACATGAGCAAAGGAAGTGATCGATGGATTTTTGAGATAGATATAACTCTCTTCGGCAACCTCAATTCCCAACTCGTGAAGTTTCTATAAATTGTTGTCCTGTCAAAGGTTGCTACTCGCGGGCTTTGTAGGTTTTGTTGTATATCAGAAATGTCTTTGTTATAAAATTTCACATCTCAGCGCTGTTTGCAGTTTCAGTTCATATTTAATATCAGCATAAGTAATTTTGGGGTAGTTCTGAGTCAGAACTAACAACAAATCTCCACTGACAAAATATTTCGGAAATAGAAAAAAAGTAAAAGCAATTGACGATGTTTGGCAAGTTGCTTAAAATCTGTGTTGTAAGTAGCAGCGCTTAAACAGTCCTTAAGCTTTTTAGGCCCTTAACCACTATACACTTAAAAAAAACTCCGTCCAATAGTGAATGCAACACGAAAAGATGCTAAAAAAAACAGCCGCAAAACCCAAAAACAGCACCAAGCAACCACCAGAACCTTTCTCTTTGATAATTTGCATTGAGTCATTGACTTGTTGACTATTTGATGTACATAATACACAACATGCTAGTTTATCACATTACAAAGGGCAAAATAGCCAAATTGATATATTTTGTTGACCCTCGGTGATAGATTGGTATATATATATATTTTTTGATTTTGACAAATTGGTATATTATCTGGACTCCGGCGCCAACTACCCCTTAAGTTTGGCTAGATCCAAATTTTTTGGCCAGTTTTCTCACATGACGGCTCACGTGATGCCCAGCTGGCGGGATTTATTGCACAAAACCCCCTCATCTTGCGACTATAATTAAAAAAAACCCTCTTCTTCCTCCTCCCCCTCTCCCTCCTCCTCCTCATCCTCTTCAACCTCTTCCCATCACCCACACCCGCAAGCTCAGCAAGACCCTCAACCCCCACTCCTCCTCCTCCCCCTCTCCCTCTTCCTCCTCATCCCCTTCAACATGCAGTTTGGACCCTCAACCCATCATAGATCCTGGCATTTCCATTGGCTAGAGAGTTCATAACATCTTGTAGGTTCGCCTCGTTCTCCATCTGCGCCCTCGTTATGTCCCCCGAACGCTACTGCTCCTGATCCGCCACTAGTCGTGGACCCTATCTGCACTGCCTTCTGAAGCAACGTCGTCGCTGACATCTGAGGATACTGCATTAGCTCGGTATATTCGCCCATGTAGGTCGAATTGAGGAGAGGTAGAAGACATTTGACATCGATGACAAGGGACTTGTAGAAATTTCAGACACAAGGAAGCAGGACTCTGATGCCTTGAGCAATGTCAATGTAAAAAATGAAGCAGTAAAATCGAATGCATTGTACATTGAGAAGAAGGAATTTGAAGAATGTTCAGACACAAGGGAACAAGATTCTAATGCCTTGAACAATTTCAAAGTCGAAAACGAAGCTGTTAAATCAAATGAATTGGACATTGAGGACAAGGGAGTTGTATAACACATTGAGGAAACAAGTGCTGGAGAATCTGTAAGTGACCCTATAGTGACAGATGAAATTGAAGAGAATTTTGAGATGGAAGTGGAAGAAAGCACTTCAGATGGAAAGTCAGAAACAGAACTGGAAATTGAAAAGCTCAAGGAAAAAATTGGTCTGCAGCGGAGGAAAGAGGATGAGGAGGAGGGAGAGGGGGAGGAGGAGGAGTGAGGGTTGAGGGTCTTGCTAAGCTGACGGGCGTGGGTGATGGGGAGAGGTTGAAGAGGATGAGGAGGAGGGAGAGATGGAGGAAGAGGAGGGGTTTTTATAATTATAGTCGCAAGATGAGGGGTTTTTGTGCAATAAATCCCACCAGCTAGGCATCACGTGAGCTGTCACGTGACAAAACTGGCCGAAAATTTTGGATCCGGCCAAACTTAAGGGGTATTTAGCGTCGGAGTCCAGATAATATACCAATTTGTCAAAAAAAAAACATATCAATCTATCACCGAGAGTCAACAAAATATACCAATTTGGTTATTTTGCCCATTACAAAGTGTATAGTATTTTGTTAATAACGAGTGTCTGAATCCAAATATTATTTCACATCTACATGCTTAGGATCTTTATAAACCATCATATGTGTGTATAATCTTTTCCTCCAATTTTCTCTTATTTTATAAATTTCAGATTTTTCCTGCCTTTTTCTTATTTCTTATAGCTAGTATTTTAGCACGTGCTAAGCACTGTCATACCTTCTTGATTCAATATCTCTATCCTAATATAAGAATTTTGAAGACACATATTCATCGTTCAATATTTATCATGCTTGTGTCATTAAACCACTACTTATAGTAAATATTATAGTAACACATACACTTCTTCATATATTTATTTTTATTTATATACTACTTTTTAAAAATAATATTTATTTGAAGTTTATTGATATAATCAAAGTACATTAAGTATGCTGCAAAAAATAGTTAATGATACATCAAATTTCTTACTAGTGTACATTTTATCATACTTTATTAGTAGATGCTTTCATATTCATTTGAAAAATGTCTTATAGTATATTAGGTTTTCTTTTTAGTTTAATAATAAAGAAAATAGACCATTAGAGATTAATTATAGTATAGTATCACTATTGCTCTGTATTTTAAATTCACAGGAAATTTACTATGCACAATTGAAATAGAATTAATGAATAAATCATTATGGTGCAAATAAAATTAAGTAAAATAGCACTTAGATCATATATAATACTTAAGTCGTTTGTACCTGTGGAATCTCGGTTTTCTTTTTATTTTATCTTTCTGGAAAATAAAATTTCTTATTTGTATACATTTTATCATACTTCCATTATTAAATAGTAGGTGCTTCCAAATGAAACAGACAAATAGCATTTGGTATACTTGGCATTTTAATTTAATAAGTGTTATACCCGTGCCCGCACGAGTGCATCTACTTTACTTTTTTGTTATTTTTTAACTAAAGTTAAGGTGAGGGATAAAGTTGCTTGAATAAAATAACTCCGGGCTAAATTTTGCAATTATAAAAATTAGGGTTCTACTTGTCATTTTTTATTTTATGGGGTTTTTGGTTATTTTTCATATTTTTAGGTACTTGTTTGAATTTTTTGAATTTTCAGTGGGTTGTTTGTAACGGATTCTAAATGGGCTTTTTGTAGTTTTTTGAATTTTTCAAGGGATTGTTTGTAATTTTGAATTTATTTTGGGGTCATTTATTATTCTTAGAATGTTTGGCAATTTCAAAATTTTTAGGGGGATATATATAATTTTTTATTTCTAGAGATTTATTTGTAATATCCTAATTTGTTGGGACATTTCTATAATTTTAGGATATTGAGGGTGAGGGGTTGACTGAGCGAAAAATAGGGCAAGCCTCACCATTCAAAAGCTTTTAAATATAAATGAATATTGAAGGGAGTTGCTTGTAAGTTTCAAATTTTTTTGCAAATTGTTTGTAGTTTTAGATTTTTTAGGAAGCTATTTGTAATTTTTCATATTGTTTAGGGTTTGTAATTTTATAGGTTAATTTATAAGTAAGAATATTTTGAGGGCTATATACTGGTCTTGAGAGTATGTTAATGTAAAATTATGAAGTAATGCTATTATAGAGGTTAAGTGCAAAAAGCAAAATGTTTTAGAGGTTTTTTGAAATTCTCAAACTTATTGAGGGTTTACTGAGAGTTGCAAATATTTTGGGGTTTACTGCTAAATGCATAAAGTTATGGGAGGTTTCTTAAAATTTACCCTTTAAAAAAATTACGGAGGGCCATGTGTACAAGTGGTAGCTTAATTTTTTCATTGGGGATTTGGCACGTAGTAGCTGTTGTTTACACGTGCCAACTTTTTGTGCAATTAGGATAGATCATCTACTTCTCTTTAGTATACAAAGGGAGGGGAGTTACATGAGAAAAGTTCTAAGGAGTTATCTCAAGATTTCATAGTTAAGGGGGTATCTACAGTATGCTCAAACTTAAGGGAGTTTTCTCAAATTAAAATAGTTGAGGTTTTCTGAGACACTTATAATTGAGAGGGTTTTCTAAAATTAACCTATGATTTAATGTATAGAGGCTTCTTATATGAGTTTTTAATTAATTTTTATATTTAAATATATGATTATGGGATTTTTTTTAATTATGGATAGTCATGATCTGATAAGGATTATAAGATATTTGATTGTTAGAATTTTCTAATTATCGATAGTTTTCATTTGATGAGGATTTTTAGATGAATATAAGATTAGGTGCTCACATGTCATTTTCTAATAGGATAGAGGGACACGTGAATATGAATATTTATGATATGACACGTCAGTTTTTTGTGCCTTTTAGTATGTGACACATGTCAAATATTTGTGTCTTTAGCAGTTCCACCAATTTCTCTTTGTATATAAAGGTGGGATTATCCTTTTTTTTAAATAAAAAATTTAATTTGGCGTTTTTTTGCTTAAGCCCCGCTTAAGCTCTAACAGGCTAAGCAACACCTTGCCATTTCACTTTGCTTTTTTACTTTCCACAATCTTGTTTATAATCCAAAGATTAGATTAAGTGTTAATTGGAACTTGTATAATCTTATTCAATCAATGGATGTAAGGATATTTAATCATCAATCTAGTGTATGAAGTCAACAATTAGAGGAGTTAAAAATATTGAGAAAATAAATTTCACTATTGCTTCTTGTTGATTATATGATTAATTACATTTCATGATTGTGAAGTATGATGTAATTATGTTGGTGACCCTTAACTTTGTGTATCTACATAGATAACTTGAAGATTGCTGATTGTAATTAAATGGGTGTCCCTAAATTTGCAAGCAAGTTAACACTATTTGTTTTTTTGCTGATTTCGAGTTATTTTTTAATATTAGTTAGGACTAGGATTAGAGTTATGGTTAAGGCTATTGAAAACATTACTGACTACTAGTGTTCGGATTAGTGTTCAAATAAAGAAATTCTAGTGGCTATCATTGTTGCAACCCTAATCCCTACCCAACCCTAGTCTTATTTTTAACTAAAACTGAATCCAAACTCTAATGCTAACAACATCTAATAAGAACTCCAAATCAACAAAAAAAAAGTTTAAACTTGTAGACATATTCTATGGTTTCATGTGTAATTACAATAAACAATCTCATGATTACTCTGGAAGATACACGGACTTCAGGTTTACTCGTGCGATTGCACCATATTTCAAGATATCTGAACTTAATTAATCCTTGATTATAAAATGAATGGAAAGTTGTAATAATATCAAAGAAGTTAAGGCTATAATAAAATTGAACAAATTAATAGTTCGGTTAGAACACATCGTAAAGCCAATATAAGAAGGTGTTTATTGAGATATAGAGATTAAGCAAATGTGATATGGTTAATATTGAACCTGACCAAATACAGTAAAGAGATCAATCTAACTAGCCACTCAATTAGATTTCTGTTTTGGATACTAAGAAAGAATGATTTCCAAGGAAAATTTAGACTAACCATTATGTCTCTGTTGACCAATATATGGAATAACCCAGAGCCTAAAACAAGGTGCCTAGTTGTTGTTGTTTTATTATTCTTTTATCAGTAAAACACCGTGAAATCAACTTTTATACTTAAAGACAAAATGTATATAGTACCACCTCTTTTCATTTGCGATCAGATGAACATGCTCCAAAAGTGTAGTAGGATGTGATGATAAATATCTGTTATGTTGGTATTTAAGACCCTGATTAGTAGAAATCTTTTTAATGAGTAGTCAGATGGGGTAGACACTTGAAAAGTAGCAGTACACACCTCAACCATTAATAAATTTATATTCCTTTTCCCTCTATTTCTCATTTGTTCCAAAAACAATTACCTTTTTGTTTTCTTTTCTATCCATCATTAACTTTTGACATTGAAACGCAATTCTGATCACCAAAGCTATGTTTGGATTGCAGGATGTACTTTGGGTATACGTCACCATTATCTTTCATGAGTATTCATGCACAACGTGAGAAAGTGCGAGGATCTATTATTATTGATGGTAAGTATTAGAACATCTTGGTGTGCAATTTATTAATTTGGTTGCATGTAGTATTTATTTTGTTTCATCCTTCCCCCACTTCTCCTATTAGGAAGATTCCATTAACTTAAAGCTTAGATACTTTCTTCTCCTTATCAAAGGAAGGAACATCAGTTTTATTTTTATACAAACCAGAATCTCGTGTTGCAGCACACCTGTAATGGCATAACCAATTAAAATATGCGTAAAACTTGGTTACCTAACTTTTTCTTTTCAGTTGGAGAGCACTCTATATGCTGTGTAGAAGGAGATATTTGAGAAATATGTCAATAGGGTACAATTTTGGGAAATAGGGTTTGAAAGAAATCTAAAGATAACATCTAGGTTACCCAAACACTTTGTTTTGGGTGTTGTATCCGTGTCGGACAAGAATTCGTCGCAGATGAACCATGAATAGGTGTGGTTCAAAGTAAAGCCCAATTTCCCTATTACTTATACCCCTAAACTAGTTTCTATTTTTGATTTCATCAAATTCTTTTGCAGCAGACTCAACCGCTGATTAACTATCTAGTATATGAAGTCTATTAACTCAAATCTCACTTAACTTTTAAGAAAACCACCAAATTAAATCTCTTAACCTATTCTCATGTAGAGGATAAAAATAACATCAATGTAGAAAATAACGCGTCCCGTAGCACAAAATAGCGCATAGCGTAATGTATCGCTGGAAAATAGCGCAGAAATAAAATTACGTACGCTATTTTACCCATAGCATACGTTTTATAACGCGTCTTCATAACGCTCCATAGATTAAATTATTCAAGGGGTGGGAATGATTTTTAAAAGAATTTTGATGGCTATGATTGAGATTTTTTTCCAAATTAATTAGATTTTGCACTGAAAAATATTAAAAAGAGATGAAAGAATTACTAATTACTTTTTTTCCAATTTAATCAGATTTAGAAGTAATAAAAACTAGTACTTTTATTTCAAACATAAAAGCTATAACTTCACTTGGATTACTATTAGATGTTTTTACATTTATGATGTTCTATTACCTATTAGAACTTACTGTGATAGTGTGTGATGTATATTTTTTTAATGACTATGCTTTTGGAATGATTGCTAAGGCATACATGGTTGATTTTATTGTCAAATTGTGATGATATATTGATTTGTTATAGTATTTTTATGATGATATGTTTGAAAACTGTGATGATTATTCATATTATTTGATTTTGAATATTATGTATCTATAAAATATTTATTTAAATAATAATAAATTATTTAACCTATGTCAAGAGTTACACTGTTTTACATTTTACGATAACTGGAGGTTAGCGTGACGCTATGCGTTATCGCTATTTTCAACATTGAATAACATCTTAGAGATAAAAAGAAAACTGTTAATAAAGAAAATTAAGGAGTTAAAAAAGCTTTTCCATGTTAGCCTACTAACCACCTAAAAAAATGATGATACCCAACTCTAAAGACAAGCTTTTAGTCCATATCTCTATCTCCAAACTCATCCACTTCAAAACTGAAATGTTCTGCATCACGAGTATATGTTTATGTATAAGGTGAGAGGATGAATCCCATCTATGTTACCAGTTGTTTTTGTTGTTGCATCATATGTGAATATGTATAAGCTGATAGGATGAACCCCATCTATCTTACGAATTGATTACTGTTGTTACTTTAATAATAATGGCCTTGAATTTTCATTGGACAGATTTATCTTGATATGGTTCTATGTCTGTGCATAAACAGTTAGGTGTTAAGTGATACTATGCCTGGAAATTTCTTTTTGAGCAATGTTGACCTCTGATGTATTGATAATATAGTCATTAGACATGAATTCATGAGTAGTGCATGCAGGAGTTTTCATTCAAATCTGCTCCACTTGTACGCTTGCAGGAAATTCATTCGTAGAATCAACAGTATGCTGTAGACAATGTTTCATGTGCATGCTATTCTTGGGACATTTAAATTATTTTAACTGTATTTTTTTTACTGTAAATGAAGGTGGATCTGGCTATTGCAAATATGGTTGGAGTAAGTATTGCGTTCCATCTGGGCGTTGTGCAACATTTTTGGTAAGTTTGTCTCATGCTTGTTCCAATCTTCATCTTTGGAGGAGAGAGATTAAAAATTGTATTCTATCATTCTATGCTTCTATAGTAGGTTCTGCTCTATCTTTCCTGCTTCTGTTTCTAATTTTTGCAATGTTGTCTATCATTCAGTTTTCATGTGATTAAACATTTACATTTTATGCTTCTGAAGTGTGCCTTGTTGGTAGGAATTTGGGAACATTGAAACTCCAATGTACTCAAGACTTCGGCATTTTTTTTCAACAATCTATAGCAGGTTTTGTTCATCATCTTTTAATTTCTTAATGTTCAAAGCTTGTATTTAGAAGTTGGAGTACAGTCTTGATGGTACATTTTTAATTTTCTTCTGTTGATGCATTTAACAAACTCGCAAGAGTCTGTTTCCTGATTGATTTGTTCGTGCATGTCCTCTAACGTCATATTCTTTCAATACTGAGTTTAATGGTTACAGGTCAAATACTTTATTCTTGCAGTAAGGCCTTCAGTTGTTATACTGAGTAGTTTATTCAGATTTTCTATTATATTTTAGATGAATGAATGGAAAGAAATTTGTTTGATCTCGTAGGAACTTGCTAATTTTAGCAGATGTAAGGTCTAAGTGAATCCTGCACTGACGGAGAATGATACAATTGTAATGCTTAGGAATATTATTTTGAAGCACCGCTCCATATTGTGTCACAAAGCCAGTTTTAACTTATGTAATGGTAGCTGAGTGTTATAAGTTCAGACAAATTCACTCTCAATTGACATTTACATTGTCAGTCATCCTTAAGTCCTTGCTGACATGAGTCTCTACTAATCTAAAAAAAAAAGAGTTGAAGTGAACAGGACTGAGACCAGCCACAAACAATGGGTTCGACCCATATTTTTTAAAGTAATATGACAACCAATGTACTCTTGTTGATTCTACTCTGAGAAAGACCAAATGGTTGGGATCCATGCAATGCTTTTCTCTTCTTCCTAAAGCTGTGAAATTTGTATATTGACATGGTAGTAGATGTTTATTACATGTAAATTATATGCATGCATGCCTGCATCTGTATGTGTGATTGTGTGCACACACTTGTATGCATCCTTGTACATCACACACATGGGAGGGATTATATTACGTATGAGTTGTAACTTATAAATCATTTTATTATACTATTATTGAACAATTAATAGTTATATTATTATTAATGCTAGTTTATTAAATAATTATGTATACCATTTTTCTATTATTAATAATTGTTTGTATAACTATTTTATAACTATTTTATAACTAGTTTTATTATTATGAATTATCAATTTAATTTAATTTAATATATCAATATAATTTAATTATCGTTACCTATTAATTTATTATAATAATTATCTATAATTTTATAATACGGGTTAGCATTTAATAATTTGATGATTGATAATGGGCTTAAATTGGGAATCATTAAAAGCGAGAGGGCAAAAGAGGTAATAAAAGGTTCTGACGTAGCAATCTCCTTTTATACATAGTAGAGATGTAGATAGATTATGTAGCTTCTAGAAAATCACATGAGATGATAATGGCTTATACTTGACGTACAATATTGTAAGATCTTCTTTTCTAAAAAGAAAATAAGAAATTAAAAAGTATAAATTTGAAAAATTGCAAGATCATCCTAAAGATGAATTAAATTTGGGATGGTGGCAAAAGTTATTTTAAATAGGTAACTACTAGTGTGGGACAATTATAGATTGATTAGATGCTATTAGGTGTAGGAAAATTATAGAGTGATTTGATGCTATTAGGATTTGTGAAGTTAGGATTTTGTCTTGTCCTTTGGGATTTAATTTTATCTTATAGTTTATTTGATCTTATGTTTTTATTTTAGTTAGGATTTTATTTTATCTTAGTTTGTCCTATAAATAGTTGCATCTTTCATTTGAGGGACAGAGAAACAATTTAGAAACCAGATCCATACTATTGGCAAAATTATTCCAACAAGAAAAATCATGTGCGTCAAATCTATGCATGAAGATATTGATCTTATCATATTTGAATCATAATTGAAGACTATGCATGGGATGGTGGTGTTTAACCTGTCTGTTGATCTTCGCAAAGTTAAGGCATACAGTTTAGTAAAATCTTTAAAAAAATTGAAATATTTATAACCATACTTGAGCTTTAAGGATCACAGTGATGTAAAAAAATGTTTGTAAAGAGAAATAGCTAATTGAAAAACATTTGTAGTTATTTGTGAAAGAAGCTCATTATTATTAATTTATCAGTCAAATTATTATCTAATAAATATGTTAATCAATGAGCACAAATAATTTTTTGAGCTTCAAAATGGTAATCTATAAAATGAAAAGAAACTTGGTGGAAAGTTGCTCATGATCAAGGAGATGTTAATATTTTTTAAATTGGAAAGTCAAGGAGATGTTTATATTTTCTAAATTGGAGAAGTATATTATCCACTCGCTGAGGGAGTGATATTATCTAGATAATACTATTTTATCCTTTGCAAAATCTTTTCCACTAAGATTTCTTCTTTTCCAAGAATTTTTTTACTTTCCAAGGTGTTCTTTTATTTTCCAAACATTCTTTTTTTCCCCTTTTCAGTAGACGTCTTTTATAGTTGTTAAAGGATGATGCCCTTAGAGAGCTAAGCATATTTGTGTTAAGCTATAAGTTGATCTATAAGCATGTATAAGAGGCATTATATATCAAGAGTTTTGACAATCATGCATATACACACCCACACACACAGAGACACAAGCACACATACACACACACACATGCAGACACACACAGACACGCGCGCGCATGCGCGCGCGAACACACACACATACATACATGCATAGAGTCGCACACAGATATGTGTGTGTATGTGCATATGTGTAAAACCCCAGAATTTTTATAATTTTATTGGAGAATTTGTTTAAGATTTTATAAGTTTTATGATGTGTGCTTACCATTCTGTGACGAATGGAATCAGTTAGAATTTATTTCGAGTTTGTTTACAGCTCGGGTTATGGTACCGTGAGTCTGCCGTCGTACAACAGTTTGAACTATTTTTGGTGATCGGACGAGTCTTGGGATGGCATCATCGATCTTAGAATATGATTTTTATGCTACGAGCCTAGTTTGATTCGATTTGGGCTTCGTTTGTAGTTTCGGCCTCGGTGTTGCGAGACGGCTTGAAACTTGTAGTTTTTTATTTTTAATATTTTATCTGTAACTCAGATGGACGTGCGGTCAGCGCCATCATTCTCAGAACATCGATACCGTATTGGGGGTAAATTGACGATTTATTCTGGCACCGGAGAAAATCAGCTGAATTACGAGCTGATAAAATACCCGGATATATAACTGTGTTTATCTGTTTTGACTTAAGTTGTCATTTATTATGGAGAGTTGACTTGGTTAACTTTTGCCATGAGCTTGTGGATGAGGGCTTGGGTGATGGGGATTAAATCTAGACCCTTGATTTCCTTTTAAAAAGACGAGAGTGTAAGAGAGAGAGGGGGGACTTTTGTCATGACCACTCTCTCTCCTCACTAACTATCTTCTTCCTCTCAAACTCCAGTGAACCCATGGCCATGGAGGGTCAAAATTTTTCGGAGGAATTTGAGAAAACTTCGTGAACGAAAAATGTTGACATCGAGCGGATCTACAACTCTTGTGAAGGTCGATCCGCTAATTCTTGATTTTTAGAGATCGAATCCCTTTCAAGGCAAGTTCATCTCCTCCAAACCTCATCCTCTTTTGTATGTTGTATTTGGTTGTGTTATTGAGTTGGATTCATGATCAAATACTTATATTTTGACTAATTGAATTATAAATGTGGGATTTTTATGAAATCAAGATAGACTAATAGATCGATTAAGCTCATTAAGTTGTAAATCGTAATATTAGGAATATGGTTGATGTTATCTCACATATTAGTTGTATGCTTGACATGACAAACCCCCAACTCTTAAGATAATTGCTAAAAACACTTGTATAAATTGTAAAATAATTGATTACAACTAGTGTAGTTATATGTTAGACACATGATAGTCCTGTTAGAGGTTGAATGAAGCCTATGTAGCAGACGAGCACTGTAGCAACCGAGTACTGTAGCAGTCGACCATTGTAGCAGTCGACTCCTCTCTTGCAGTCTGCTGAGTACTGTAGTAGTCGACCACTCTCTTACAGTCTGTTGAGTACTGTATATGTATACATATATGTATATATATGTATACATATACGTATATGTATACATATATATACATATACAATGTATATACATATACAATTGTATATGTATATCTATGTATATACATATATATACATATACAATTGTATATATACATTGTATACGTATATATATGTATACATGTGTGTTACTATCATTAAGATTTTGATTATAGCGGTGTAGAGATCTCTTTCTCATTGTGTTTTTGCTTAATGAGAGATCTTTCATCTTTCAAGTAGGAGCACTGGAATCATGTTACATTCATGAACACCAGTTCTGAGGTTTGTAGTGTTAACATGCCTTATGATTCCACATATTGTTTATGTTGTATATGAATGTATAAATTTATTAATATTTTTATGAAAAATGGGTATTAGGTGGCATCTCATTTTGCTAAATGATCTACTAAGAGATAGTCAATTGGCTTAGTAGAGACTCATGTCAGCAAGGACTTAAGGATGACTGACAATGTAAATGTCAATTGAGCAGTGAATTTGTCTGAAACTTATTAACACTTCACAGCTACCATTAGCATTAAGTTAAAACTGGCTTTGTGACACAATATGGAGCGGGTTGCCTTCAAAAATAATATTCTAAGCATTACAATTGTATCATTCTCCTGTCAGGTGCAGATTCACTGTAGACCTTACATCTGCTAAAAATTAGCCAAGTTCCTTTACGAGATCAAACAAATTTCTTTTCCAATTCATTCCATCTAAAAGCTCTCGAATCTGAATAATCACTACTCAGTATAACAAGCTGAAGGCCTTTACTGCCAAGAATAAAGTATTTGACCTGCTGTACCTTAAACTCCCCAGTATTTGAAAGAATATGACGTTAGAGGACATGCAACGCAACAAATCAATCCAGGAAACAGACTCTTGCGAGTTTCGTTAAAATGATCAACAGCTCAAGAAAATTAAAAATTGTACCATCAATGACTGCCTACTCCAACTTCTAAATACAAAGCTTTGAACATTAGAACATTAAAAGATGCATGAACAAAACCCTGCCTATAGTATTGTTGAAAAAAAATGCCGAAGGGTCTTGCAGTACATTG